ATTTTTTATGTTTAGGTTTAGGGAAGAAAAAGAAGAGAAGAAGAAGAAGGTGAGGAAGGAGAAAAAGAAGAGGAAGAGGAAGAGGAAGAGAAGAATTGGAGGAAGGAGGAAGAAGGAGAAGGAAAGAAGAAGAAGAGGAAGTAGAAGGAGACTATGAAGGGTTACCTAAGATGACAATAGTAATGGGGTCGAGTGAGAGAGGGAAACTGAAATATAGAGAAGTGGGTCGTGTGTGTGAGTCTTAGTGTGCGTGAATGGGTTGGTTGGGAGAGTGTTATGAGAGAGTGAGGGGTAGTTAAGAATTTAATTTATTTAGATTTATGTTAATTCTTCTCTCTTTTTTAAAATTATTATTTATAATTAATTGATATAGATTTTTTTGACTAATCATGCTTTGGCATCACCGTCGAATTGTCATCATCGTTCGCGCACTTCAATGCCTTCTCGATCCACATGCACGAAATTTCAATTTTTGCTAATCCACAATCCCGATCACTATGTGTCTCGATGTTAGCTTTTTCAGCTGCCCCGAACACGCTGGCGCTGTCTGTTTTGTGATTGAAGGTCATTTTGGCTATTTAGGTGTTTTTTTATGCGCATTGAGTAAATTTCATGCGACGTCATGCTCTTTCGCTTTTGAAACTCATTGTGCGCAATCGACTCGATCCCAACATTAGTATTGAGGTCAATAAATGCCATCAACAAATGTGGTGAATACTTGAAGTGGATCATTTTATTTGAAAATAGTTTACATTGTGGATCTTTAAGAACTTTTTTTTTGGATATCCATGGATGTCAATGCTGGGTAGGAGCTAAGTATGTGAAATAATATCTTTTGTTTAGCCTCCATTTTTTTTACTTCATTTATTTTCAACAATTTTCTTTCTTGTTTTTGTCCGAAGAATTCTCTATCTTGAAAGTTCGGTGGTTGAATTTGTGAGCAAACATACGCCTGAGTCTTGAACCAAGTGTCATGTTTGTAGCTACTTTTGGTTCGGTTATAATAGCTTATTGAATTAGTTGGGATTGTCATCGGTTCAACATTTTGTGCTAATGAACTTATTTATGATGAATTCAATTTCTTCTTTCCTGTGCTTTGTGCGATAGACTTGATGAATGATTATTTGATTTGTCTTTACTGACTTGAACTTGCACATCTTCTGCACTCTGCTTTTCGCTTTGGCGGGCTTAATGAAAGAGTGAATGCCGATGACCTAGCCCTTGGAGCTTGTGTTAGGTCGATGGTAAAGACTCATCGGTCCAGAGCTTTGTGCATGACAAATTTGTTGATGACAAAATCCCTTAGGTTTAGCATCGGGCTTTATACGAACTCTGGGATAGTTTCTTCAATCTTTTGCTTTGTGCTTTGTTAGACTTATTGAAGAAGCAAAACTACTTTGCTCCCCGCCTTATGATTGGTGGATTCGTTGAAGGAATTGTAGGTTTTGATTTAGCTAGTAGTACCAAACATAGGTAGTACTTTGTCTCTTAACCAATTTAGGCCAGTTTAGAAGGTCTCCTCGATCTGGGTTATTTAGACTTATCAATTTGGGTAAGTTGGGACTTGACAGCTCTTCTCATCCAACTAGTGAGAAGTGGGTTCCCTCACTATGACATTTATTGTAGCTTGTTGAGTAAGGGTTAGCAAAAAAATGGAGTACGACTTATAAGTGGAATGGGCGAGGACACCCACGCTTAAGGTAATAGGGAAGGAGCACAGGTTAGGTGCATGACACTAATTATAGAAAGAATCAACACCAAGGAGGAACCTCCGAGAGGGGTCATTGGAATGAACATGAAACAATGAACTGCGGTTAGTGACTAATGTGCTCGACTCTGGGGAGCACATCAACGTGGGAAGAAAAATTTGAGCGTGGACAAGCATTGCTGTTACCGTGCACATGCGAGCAATTCTTGATATCACCAATCTTCCAACAATAAGGGTTGACTATCGTTTCACATTTACTAAAAAATTGATGTAATGTTTGCAGTTTTTACTCTAATAAAGTTTTACTGCACGTCCTTGCCCCTCACTATTTTATCTAATTTTGCTGCCTTTTAATATGGTTTTCCTTTGCTTCAATCATTTTATCTTTTACTAATATTGGCTAATCAGTGACAGTTCTGTAATCCACATATCATGTTTTATAAAAGTTTTACAGATGGCTTTTTTTCGCTTTCTTGATCTCTTAAGTAATCGCCATAATTTGAAAATGGCATCATAAAACTAGTCCAGTCTCCAACATTTTTTATTTTTCTGCAACACTTGTTTATCTCCATAAGTTCATTGCAGGAACTGGTCAGGTATAGATGCTACAATTTTTACCATCCTAGTCATTCTGAAATACTGCATTATTTTTACAAATCATTGTTATTTTCTGGATTTTGAGAATTTTATTAAAACAAATTAACTATGTTCAAACATTAATGGCTTTTAGCTTTATATATATATATTCTGAATTGTTGTTTCTGATATCTGAAATTGTACAAATGGTCTCACTAGCAAATTTCGATTATGTTGAAATAAAAATTTGGATGTTGGTTGGTATTTTAACATATCCATAATATTTATTGTCAGAGTTACACACCAGCTTGATCATGAAAACTTTCAGTTCTTTGAAGCTGTTTAAATGTTTTAAAATATACTTTAATGAGTTCATCGGTTTTACTAGGAGACCAGAATAAAATCAGATAACTCTGAACCTTGCTCAGTGCACCTGATAAAACTTCTTGATGTGTTCAAGGAGATTTATGAGCTTTGAAGTTATTATCAGGAACACCTCTTGAAACCTGACAACTTTAAACTTCCCCGTGCCGTGTTCTTGATGCTTCATTTAGATGGAGGTGCACCAGTTTTGATGGATAAATTTGTTTGGATGAGAAACATTTTTTTTTTAAATTATTTTGATTAACCAATTAGCATTTCATTTCACCCAGGATGTGTAAAACAAGAATAATTATGATGCTAATGATGTCTCAGGTTGAAGATTAACTTGTCCTTGACTCTGCTATTGTAGCTTATTTTTCTTCTTAGTCACTCTAAATAATAAAGCAATATACTTTTTGATGAGGACATCGTCAGAAATTTCGACACATGTATCATGGGAGACACCGGAGATCAATGGCCACGAGCATGAGTTTATATTTTGAGTCATTTTATGTAGTATTTTATTTTATTTTTCAGTTTTTCCGCTTTTGCCCTTATGGGTAGTTGGTCGCATTGTAGCCCAAGGGGCATTTTAGTCTTTTGTTTTCTTTGTCATTTTGAAGCCTATATATATGGCTATTTTCTTATGTAAGAGGATTGATTATTGATGAATGAAAAGTTATCTTGGTGATCTCTTTGTGAGTTCCAAAACTCCTCTAGATTTCTTTGTGAGTTCTTGAGGAGAAAGCTCTTAGATCTCTTTGTGAGTTCTAGTGGGAAGTGTGAGGTTTGTGATTCTCGATTTCCTTTTTCTTCTCCACCAATCTCTTTCCCCCTTCACCTCAAGAGAAGACAACCACACCCATTGGCTTGGAAAACCCGACCCCCACCTACTTACCGCCGTCCCTTGGAGCCCAAGCCGTCAGCTTGATCCTACCACCGGCCGGCCACCTTGCCACCAACCCCCTTCCATCCGCCCACCTCCCCTCCCTTCCTCTAGCCATCATTTCAAAATTCAAATTTCAAATTTCAACTTCTTTCCAAATTGGGAAATCCAAATTAGGAAAGTTCTTTATGTTGAATCCAATTTTAAATTAAAACAAATTGGATTTAATAATTTTCTTTCCTAGTCATCATTTCGCATTTGGAAACCCCCCTGCCTTCCTCCCCAATCTCCTCCTCCTTGATGCCGCCGGCCCCTTAATGGGGTTTCCCATTGAATGCTCATTCAATGCCCCTCCCCCTTATTTAAAACTCAAAATTGATTTCAAATATTCTCCCTCCAATTTCACTTGAGCTGAAATTAATTTCAGTTTTCTTAATTCTAAACCCCTCTCCCCTCCCTCTCCCCTCTCTCTCTCCACTTTGCCACCTAAGCAACATTAATCCCTCCCTAAATCTCCTAATAACTGCCGGCCCCATTAATCCCTTAATTGGGTTAATTTGAATTTCAAATTAGCTTCTTCCATTAAGGAAAATCTGAAATTAAACATCAGATTTTTCCTCTCTTCTCTTTGTCCCCCAAATCACTTGTTTCAACCCAAATAACTCCACCCATAGCCGATCCCTTCATCCTCCCAAGTCTTCTCCCATTATCTCCTCACCTCCTCTTCACCAAGCTCAAGAGAGATTCTCCCAACCATCACCACCATCATGCATGGCCGATCCGGAAGTCGACCATAGTTTCTTACTTGATGATCAAGGACGAACCAACTTCCTTGAATCCCCTTTCTTCGACGTAAACCTTGACGTGGATTCTTCCGTGGAGGATTACTTAAATCGCATGTTGTTCACGCTAGTAATTTCCATCGAGGAGCCTATTCTTCCCGGACGTTGGATGCTCGCTAGTCATCCCGTGGACTACCCGCCACCGGCTACCTCTCCAACGGACTACACTTTGGGCGCCATTTGTCTCCTAGTGGCATCGCTCGGTTGCTCTCAATCTTCCTCCATTAAAAGTGCCACCAACAAGAGAGTGAGTGAGGGACCCAAGGTGAAGAGATCTATTTGTTAACTGTGGATTCTTGTTTCTTAACCATAACATTGTCTTATTTATTTCATGTTGTTCATTTGAGAGTACCATGATATTCTAGTTGTAACCGCACGCCTTACATAACTTCTACTTGATAGTTCTGAAAGCCTAACTTGAGTAAGCATTAATTGTTTAACTAGCAAAGTTTTAATACTCTTATATTAAAATCCTCAAGCAGTTCTTGTTTCCATGTATATGTTTCACATCTCTTTTTTTTTTAATAAAGCATTTTACTTGTTCGAACACTGCTTAACTTCAATGCTCAATGGCTGCATATTCAAAAGAACTAAAGCTGAAATGATCATCACATTTTTTCTGCAGTTGTCTGTGTTAGCAGGAGACTTCTTACTTTCACGAGCATTTGTTGCACTTGCAAATCTAAAGAATACAGAGGTAATGGGCTTCAGCGCTTCTGAATGAAGCATGTTCATGTCACACCTAAACATGAAGGCCACACACACAACGTTAAGATATTTTCCATGTATTATTACCACTATATATTTTATTATTTCCTTTCCTACCTGGTTGATTTTCTCTCTTTCACTTATTAACCAGAAAAAGATTCTTAGGGATTTCTGTTTTGTTCATGTAATTGTATTCATACAGGTCATATCTTTGTTGGCAATCGTTGTGGAACACCTTGTAAGCGGCGAAACAATGCAAATGACAACTTCATTGGAGCAACGTCGCAGGCAAGTTTCTGTTTATAGTTATTAATTTCTGCCACTATTATGGTTAGGCCACGTAGAGTAAATTCATCATTTGCTGCTTGATTATTCTGTTCTTTTTTTGCTAATCTGAAACATCATGATATCAATGTACAGCATGGAGTATTACTTGCAGAAGACATTCTATAAGACAGCTTCTTTGTTTGCAAACAGTTGCAAGGCCATTGCTTTCCTTGCAGGCCAAACCGCAGAAGTGGAACTGCTTGCTTATAATTATGGAAGAAATCTGGTCAGTTTGTTGAAAATTTATTGTGTGGATACCAGACGTCATTCGGAGGCGAATCAGAGCACGCCACATCACCCTTTTGCTGTGTACCACGGCTATGCACTGCTGTGTACCAGGTGACGTGGTGCGCTCTGATTCACCTCCGAACGGTTTGTTGTCCGCACAAAATAATTTCTCTAGTTTGTTTCCTTTATGTAGGCCCATTTGTCCATCTTCATGATAGTACTGATTAAAAATGCTTAGAAATAATTTTTGTCATCACAGGGCATGGCATATCAGTTGATTGATGATGTCCTTGATTTTACTGGTTCATCAAGTTCACTTGGCAAGGGCTCGTTGTCTGATATTAACAAAGTACTCTTATGATGCACTCATTTCTTACATATATTCTTTCGAAGAGCTTCTTATTTTTTTTCCATTGTCCTGCTTCTTAGTTAAATTGTTTCTTCATATGATTTTTGTGGTCAACTTGATTGTATTACACTTAACCTCTCTGTTAAACTAAATGTCCTAGCCGGATAGTTTATACCGTTTGCATTTTTTTATTGCTAGCAATGTAATTGTTTAGAATTACTTAGAAATATAACGTAGAATGATAAAGAAATAACATGTTTACTATTGACAAATATCCAGAATATTGTAACGGCTCCAATTTTATTTGCTATGGAGGAGTATCCTCAGTTGAGAGAAGTTGTTGATCGAGGGTTTGGCAATCGGTCAGATGTTGAACTTGTAAGTATATTGCTAATCTTTTGTGCTTCGAAATGTCAAGAAAGTTAAATGGATCTTACCTCAGATAATGGTTGGATCCTGCTTATTTTTCAGACATAGGGTTCATTTGGAATAGCTTTTTTAATGCTTTCTAAAATAATATTTTAGTTAAAAAAATTTTTGAATTAGAGTTTTTTTTACTAAAAATTTGTTTTATAAGCAATGAGAAATCTGTCCCAAACAAAGCCATAATAACATCAAATAATAGTGGTTGGATGATGAGAAGCCGAGGTCTCAATAAAGTTGATGTGGTAATGTCTGAGATTACCATGCCTTAATCGTCTTGGAGTATTGTTATATGGCATGAAAATTTTAGTTCAAAATAGTCTGTCTATAAATTCCTCAAATTTACATTTGAAAAGCATTATTTCATTTACACGGATCTTCTATTTAAGTGTCTTTTGGAATGTTCATTTTGATTTCCTTTTGTTGTTCACTTGTAAATCATTTTGTTTTATTCAATGTAGCTAATATGCTCTATGGGGTTGTTTGATTTGCTGAATAAGAAATGCATAGTAAAATAAAATGCAGTGCAAAAGGAATGTAATGCATTTGAAATACGTTGAGTTTTTGGAATGTTATGTATTTGAAATACTTTGAGTTTTTGAATGAGCGTAAAGTAAAAACAAATGATTGTTTTTTTTAGTTTAACTTGAAGTAAAATGAGTGCAATATAAAGCTCAATGATGGTGGTAGTCGATGGCAAGCTGCAGACAGTGACAATAATGGTGCTACAATGACAAATAATTTACATTGTATTTGAAATAGGACAAATATAACGATTTCTAAATACATCAAAATTGAATTAGAGAGTAAATTAAATTACAAACATTTTAGAATTTTACTCTAAATTTCCTTAACTTCAAATCAATTATCAATATTTTCGAAACTCCTACATTTAGAATATTTACATTCCTTTTACATCAAACCAAACAGCCCCCATATCAAATGCGGTGAATAACTTGACACTTAAATAAATTAAAATTTAATAATAGTAATATATATATTTTTTTATTTTTTCAGTTGTATTGATCTCAGCTAGTAGTTTATTTTGATGGTCTTTCAATGCACCTGCAGGCACTTGACTACCTTCACAAGAGCAGAGGACTTGATAGGACTAGAGAGTTAGCTGCAGAATATGCTGATGAAGCTGTAAAAGCCATTGAGGCACTCCCTCAAAGTGATGATGAGGATGTGATAAAATCAAGAAGGGCTCTCGTGAATCTTACTGGCAGGGTCATCACAGGAACAAAGTGAAGTTCCCATTCTTCCCAAGTGAAATTATTTCCTTCAACATACAATAATTTTTTTGGTTTTTGCCAGAAAATGTTACAGATTTTGATAGTTTTTAGCATTGAGTTGCATCTTGAACTATCAAAATTTTATGATTATTTTGTTTTGTAAGTCACAGCAACAATTCCTGATAAGTTTAAACAAATGTGTTGAAATTTGTTGAACAGTAAGACTCAATAAATTATCATTCTTGATCATTACTATGCAGTAACTGATGAACTTTTTTTTTTTTTTTTTCTGCACTATGGAGTATTTATTTTGTTTGTTTCTTATGAGTATCTCAGGTTTCATTTGGGATGACTTTTTTATTGCTTTTTTAAATAACTTTTTAATAAAAAATTAAAAGAAAATTGTTTTAAGAAGCAGTAAGAATAATATCCCAACACGATTTTTTACTGCTTCTTAAAATAGCTTTCTATTAGGAAAATTAAAAATTTTGAATTAAAAAGTTGCTTTAAGAAGCAGTAAGAAAGCTGTCCCAAACAAAACCTAAGTTATTACAATTTTTCCTTAGCTTATTGATTTGCTCCCTAAATTCCTAGTTTGCTTATGGTAAAATGGAATTTGACCAAACTGAGCAACAAATGATCTACTAAAAAATTTCCATAAAATATTGATTCGTTAGTTTTTTGAGATTGTAAAGATAAAATTAATTTGTATGTCTAAGATTGAAATTGAAAGAAGAAAATTTAATCAGATAAAAAATAATAATCATATGCTTATTATTACTATTTGTTTATATGATAATCTTAAAATGATAAACATAATAATTCTAATAAATTTAAAAAGCATGGCGATGAGTCGATATGAGATGGTGTGATGTTGTGGTTGATGATAATGGTTGATTTGTGCCGCTATTGGAATTACGACGATAACAAGTTCTAAGGAAATGAGGATCCATTGTGATGAAGATTTATACTCTCTTTGTTTGTTTTTAACTCAATCAAACATTTAAAAATATAAAACTCCTATAATTCAGATATAATACAGTCTAAATATGTTCAATCCAAGACTCGAAAACAAAATCTTTTGATTTGTAATCAAAATTTTCAACTAACAGATCAAGATGAGCTACGTCTGAATATGATAACTACTTTCATGGGTGTGAAGAACATTTAAAATAAATGGTTGATCTCCCTTCAAAGGTGTGAAGAGCATCAAATCTTCCAACTAATCCCTACCAAAACCCACCAAATAAAATCCACACATAATTCATGAAACCTTCAACAATCTTATATATTTTCACCTCTATCAAACTACTGAAACAAGAAATTTCTTGCCATGAGCGTAGTAGGCTTGTTATTTTTTCTACTTCTCACTTTCATCATTTCCATTCTTTTCATTATCTTCTTCCGGCTCGCCGGAAAGAGTCCGAAAGCCGACCGACGGCGGCTCCCACCTGGACCAACAAGCTGGCCCATTGTAGGCAACCTCTTACAATTGAGCCAGTTGCCTCACAGGGACTTTGCACGTTTTTGTTCTACTTACGGCCCATTAGTCTATCTCCGACTCGGCTCGGTGGATGCCATAACTACCGACGACCCGGAGGTAATCCGCGAGATTCTTGTCGGACAAGATGACGCCTTTGCGTCGCGTCCATCAACGGTGGCGGCGGCCCGCTTGGCCTACGGCAGTGGAGACGTGGCCCTTGCGCCGATGGGCTCCCATTGGAAGCGCATGCGAAGGATTTGTATGGAGCATTTGCTAACCACAAGAAGGCTGGAATCGTTTGCTGCCCACAGGGCGGAGGAGGCCCGAGATCTGTTCATGGATGTGTGGGCCAAAAGTAGCTCCGGCGAAACTATCGACTTAAGGCAGGTGTTGGGAGGCTTCTCCATGAACAACGTGACAAGGATGCTGTTAGGGAAGAAATACTTCGGGCCGGCGCGGGCAGGGCAGCGAGAGGCAATGGAGTTCATGGCCATTACACACGAGCTTTTCCATCTTCTAGGGATCATATATCTGGGAGATTATTTGCCGGCATGGCGCTGGTTGGACCCTACAGGTTGTGAGAGGAAGATGAGAGAGGTGGAGAAGAAGACAGACCAGTTTCACCAAAAGATCATAGACGAGCACAGGGAGAGAACAAGGAGGAGGAAGGAGACCAGAAGAAGCAATTGTAAGGAGGACGATGATGATGCCATGGACTTTGTTGACGTTTTGCTTTCTCTGCATGGGGAGGATGGCAGGGAGCACTTGAATGATAAGGAGATCAAAGCTCTGATGCAGGTCTGTATAATTTTTCTTAAGGACTTTCATGGAAGGATTCTTATAATCATCTAATTGTTTGTTCAGGACATGGTTGCAGCGGCTACAGACACTTCAGCTGTAACAAGCGAGTGGGCATTCACAGAGCTCCTTCGCCATCCCCACGTCCTTCAAAAAGCCCAATTTGAATTGGACTCCGTTATAGGCCTCGATCGGCCCATTCGTGAATCGGACCTTCCTCATCTGCCTTACCTCCGTTGCATCGTTCGCGAGACCTTCCGATTACACCCAGCCGGCCCATTTCTCATCCCACACGAATCTCTCCGACCGGCCCATCTGATGAACGGCCGTTACACCCTCCCTTGTCACACACGTGTATTCATCAACACCCATGCACTGGGGCGGAACCCACACGTGTGGGGAAATGATGTGGATGAGTTTAGGCCGGAGAGGCATGAGAAGGGGAAAGGGAAGGTGGAGATTAGTCATGGGGATGATTTTGTGATTTTGCCATTTGGGGCTGGGAAGAGAAGGTGTCCGGGAGCGCCGCTTGGGGTGGTGATGGTGTTGATGGGATTGGGGACTTTGTTACATGGATTTGATTGGAAGGCGGCGTATGGGAAGAGGCCGGAGGAGGTGGGAGTAGAGGAGATTTATGGGATGACAATGCCGAGGGCGGAGCCGCTCAAGGCGGTGGCGACGACGAGGTTGAAGGAGGGCATATATATGTCGGAGGTGAGTGATCAGAGAAAAAAAATGTTAGCATGTCAATGAAGCAAAATACATTATGATGACCTAAAAAATCTTTGGATTTGTGTTAAGATTAGTACAATTTAAGATTTCATATATAACACAAATCTAAATACATTCAAAGATTTTGAAGTCATTCTGATGCTTTTTACATGCATTTTGCATCATGATATTATGACAATTTTTTTCTAAGTGAAATTAGAGTTCTTGAATTATTTTATGGAATAAAATATTATATTTAACATAAAATTGTCGGTTTTATATTAAATGAAGATTATATTTTTGAAAGAGAAATATTATGCTTTTTAATTTTAAGGCTTAAAAAAAATTGTTGAGAGAGAGAGAGAGAGATTAGAATAGTTTAGAACCACTTGTATTATATTTTTTAGTGAAAAATATTATGCTTTTTCATTTTGAGGATTAAGAAGGATGTTCGTTATGCATTGAATAAGATGTTTTTAATCTTGATGAAACAGTATGCATTGCTATATTGGGGTCTAATATGAGAAATTCAAAGAAGCTTAGAAAAAGAGAAAAAAATTTATATCCAAGGAAGTGAATATGGGAGTCGAGAGCGGAAGCACTTAGATTGCACCATAATTTAAAAGAAGATTACAGTTTTGAATGAGAAATATTATGCTTTTCATTTTTGAGGCATTTATATTGAACAAGTTATTTTTAAGCTTGTTGAAATAGTATGGATTGCTATGTTAGGTTCTAATATTTGAAATTCAAAAAAATCGAAGAAGGATAAAATTTTCAAATTTAAGGAAGTAAAAAATAAAAGTAGAGTGAAACAACTTGGATTTTATGAGAATGTAAGTCTCCACCCTACCCACCAAAAATTTGAAATTTTAACTTTAATTATGAGTATAATTTTAAATATTTCTAACCAAGTCTTCTTTTATATTGCATAATTAATTAATGAAGCTATCCTTTGATTTTGAATTTTTAATAAAGCCATTATGCCCCATGATCTTATCTTGAATTCTTCATCTTGCTCTTGTAGTGGGGCCATTACAATTGGGGTGGGGAAAGGGGAGTGGGGGAGCATATTAACCCATTTGTTCACCTAGTCAACATTAAATCAAACTTAGCCTACATAACTAATGTGGGTTACCTTATAAACCATATGCAACTTTGCTAAACCCTTTGTGATTTGACCTAATCTTTGGATTAGACATAATCTAATCCACTTCTCTAAGTGCCTTCAACCCCAGGCTGCTTTCTTAGACCTTAAGAACCAATCTTAATCAGCCTAATCTTGAGTCAAATTGGAAAATCCACAATTAATCAACCTAGCTAAAATTGGTCTTATATATAAGCTTAAATCTACCTTATTCCCAAGACATAAGCGCAAACTCAAACAAACCTATCAAACACCTTTCACCTTATTCCTAAGGAATTGAAAGCAAAGATGGTGAATGATTTGACGAGTTTAAAGAGGACTTAGCATTTCCATGAATCCCAAACTAAAATAACTCTCTAAAGAGAATCTAGAATTTTTTAGAAAGAAAAATAAATCAAGAGAAACCACAAGAATGAGACATCGACAATCAACCAAATGTATTATTTCCTCTCACATCTCGCACTTCTATTACACACCTAAACCCTTCATAGATGTTAGGATGAGCTTGAAATTGCTTGTGGATTAAGCATAACAATGTTATTGAATTATCAACTCCATATGACTCTGTGTCAACATTGTTATTGTCTTTTAAAAAAAAAAATTAATCTCTAGCCACCAAATCTCCATTGTAGTCAATCATTAAACTTTTATAAAATTTATTTAATTCCAACGGGTTCTTAAATTAATCTTAATTAAACTTTTATAAAAAAAAATCAAATTAATTTAATTAACTCATTTAAAAATAAACATTATCTTTATTAGCAATATTTTGTATAATTAATCAAATTATTTACTAATTTATATAATTCATTTGCATATCTCATCACATCCATTTTTTTATAAATTAAAAAAAAAAAACTTAAAATTTCATTACCTTTCTTCAAGAATACTATCTTAAAAAACAATAAAAACAATAAGAAAATCATCCCAAACAAAACCTAAATCCAACTAAGTGAACTAAAGTTAAGCTTTAAGACTCAGACTAACCAAATTTAAACCCTATGGCCACGCGGTTGTCGCAGCTTAAGTGAGCCTCAAGTAACCTTAACCGTTTCAAATGATCTCCCCTACTCCCCTCATGATCTCCAAAAAAACTGTTCAATCCATGTAGTAAGCTCTAAATAGCTTCCTAACTATCTCCAATTTTCCACTATATTCTACAAGAACCCTATAAAAATGTTATCAGGGCTAAGGTTTTCAGTATTCTGTTTACAAAATACTTCTCAAGATAATTTAATTGCCAAAAGCAGCATTAACAGCAGTAGCAGTATCAAAATTATCCTATTACAACGTCTAGAACAAGACCTCTGAGTAATAAATACAGCAAGATTAGTTTTGAAGCGCTTTGCACTTCAATGGAAAGATGTTCTGACAAAAGGTTTCAGGTTTTTTTTTTTTTTTGGACATTTAGGAAAGGCTTGGTAAGTATATCAGCTATCTGTTCTTGAGAAGAAATGTGTTGAATGTTGATGTTGCCGGAGAGAAGATGCTGGCGAATGAATTGAAAATCAATCTCTATATGCTTGGTACGGGCTTGGAATACCGAGTTTTTGGCAATGGCTATGGCGGATATGCTGTCACAGTGAATGACAGTCGGTGTATGTTGTCGCAGCTGTAATTCATCTGCTAGTCGCCGGATCCATAGAATGTCCGATGTTGCTGCGGAAAGTGCACGGTATTCGGCTTCGGTAGACGACTTGGCGACAGTGATCTGCTTCTTGACCGACCAAGAGAGGAGGTTGGGTCCCATGAAAGTGCAGAATCCGGAGATTGACTTGCGATCGGTGAGGTCGGAGGCCCAGCCTGCGTCTTTAAATGTGTGAAGAGAGGTATCGCCGGGAATGATCGGAAGCCTGTGATTGAGAGTCCCTTTTATGTAACGTAGGATGCGTTTGAGATTCTGGAAGTCATGGTCTGTCGGAGACTGCATATGCTGGCACACTTGATTAGTGGCGAAGGCGATATCTGGGCGTGTGATAGATAAGTATTATAGGGAGCCAGCCAGACGTCGGTAGAGATAGGCGTCGGGAAATGGTTTGCTGTTGGTTGCCGCGTGCTTGGAAGCCGGTGTTATGGGAGTAGGTGCGGCTTTGCAGTTTGCAATGCCTGCCTCTTGAAGTAGTTTGAATGCGTAGTGCCCCTGAGTGAGAAAGAACCCAGCGGTGGTGCGGTTGATCTGTATCCCTAGGAATAAGGAGACGTGGTCGAACTGCTTGATGGCAAAGTGAGATTTGAGATCCTGAAGCAGTTTGTGAGTTTGAGTTGGATCATTCCCTGTTACAAGGATATCATCAACGTAAATTAGAAAATAGATTTGAACGTTATTTTTATTGTAAATTAAAAGAGATGGATCGGAACGACTGAACCCGAAACCGCGATGTTGAAGGAAGGATGTAAGCTTGTGAAACCATTGTCGGAGCGCCTGTTTGAGACCGTAAAGCAACTTGTGAAGCTTGCAAACGGCATTGGGTTGAGTTGGATCTTCGTAGCCGGGAGGTTGTTTGATATAGATTTATTCAGAGATTTCTCCGTGAAGAAACACATTGGATACGTCGAGTTGGAGAACATCCCAATTGCGGTTGACGGCAAGCATTAGAAGAAGGCGAATGGAAACCATCTTGGCGACAGGGCTAAATGTTTCCGTGTAGTGTTCGCCGAACTTTTGTGCACACCCGAGAGCCACTAGGCGTGCTTTGTAACGGTCGACTTGGTCGTTTGGTAGAAACTTGATCTTATAGGTCCACTTGCTTCCAATGATTTGCTTGTTCGGATGAGCTGGCACTAGTGACCAAGTTCTCTGTTGCAGAAGGGCTTGATATTCCTTGGTCATGGCCTCTCTCCAATGTGGGTATTGAAGGGCTTGTTTAAGTGTTACTGGTGTTTCGGTTGGACCTGGATGAGTGATGAGAGAAATAAATTTCTTGGGTTTGGTAATACCAGATTTTGAGCGTGTTTGCATAGGATGTGATGTTGGAGTCGGATCGGAGGTAAGTGCTGGTCTGGTGGAAGTCCTGGATGACTGCGGTTGAGAATTAAGTTCTGTAGGTTGCGGCTGTGGTATACTGATGGCGGGAGAGTTGTTGTTGGGGTACTGATTGTGATGTTGTAAAGTAGAAGACGGAACGAGAAGCAGAGGAGGAATTGTATTGTTAGATTGTTGTATTTGTCCAGTGTCCGCGGCCGCAGAAATCCTGAGGGGAAAAACAGACTCATGAAAGACTACATGTCTTGATATATGTATTTTATTATTGGATAGATTTAGACACTTGTAGCCTTTGTGCTGAGGGGAGTATCCAAGAAACACGCACGATTGAGATCGTGGTTCCAGTTTGTTTGTAGTGTAGGGTTGGAGCCAGGGGTAGCAAAGGCACCCGAAAGTTCTTAGGTGGTCGTAATCTGGCGGGTTGGTGTAAAGTTTGTGATACGGGGACTGAAAGTTAAGTGCCTTGGAAGGTAGGCGATTAATTAAGTAGTTTGCCGTAGAAATGGCATCCGTCCAGAAGTTATTCGAGAGACCGGCGGCATGAAGTAAGGTGCGGGTGAGGTCCAGTAGATGACGATGCTTGCGTTCGGCTAAGCCGTTTTGTTCCGGCGTGTGAGGGCAGCTTAGCTGGTGGAGAATGCCGAATTGTGTAAGGAATGCGGTAAATTCTTTGCTTGTGAATTCGCCTCCATCGTCAGAACGAAAAACCTTAGGAGTAACTGAAAACTGATTTTGTATCATAGCTATAAAGTTTTTAAAATAGTTAAAAGTGTCACTCTTGTTATGCAAGAAATAAATCCAACTAAAGCGAGTAAAATCGTCGATGAAGATAACATAAAACCGAAACACATTAGAAGCAGAAGAAGACATAGGTCCCCAAACATCCGAGTGAATGAGCTCAAACGAATGTGAAGTTACAGATTTGCTTTTAGAAAATTTTAGTTTGTGGCTTTTCGCCATACTACACGATTGACAATTAAAATCTGAAGAAATGTGAGGAATGCCGGTATTGCTAGATCCGATGCTATTAAGGATCTTGTTATTCGGATGCCCGAGGCGAGCATGCCATATCGCCGGTGATGTGAACCTCGTGTGGAAGGCTTGCTGTCCAGGGTCCGGTTCTACCTGAAGTTGATAAATGCCGTTATGCAGGTGACCACGAAGGAGCTGTTGATCCTGAACATCCTTAATTTCAAAGCCGTTAGAGTCAAAGGTGATCGAGACCGAATTGTCTCGAGTTAGCTTAGATACGGAAAGTAAGTTATGAGTTAAGGCAGGGACATGGAGAAGATGGCAGAGACGAAGCTTACGAGGTGTGTTTGGTAGAGGAAGCAAACCTTGACCGAAATGTTGGATCGGAATAGTGGAGCCGCTGGCTGTCGAGACCGATTCTTGCCCGTGATAGATCGAGGGGTTTTGAATTGAGGTGCTATCGGCAGTCATATGAGACGTGGCGCCCGAGTCCAGTACCCAGGTTTGTGTAGAGTCCTGAGTCGGTTGAGCAAGAAGGGCGCGGAGCAGAGGAATTCGTCGGGGTGTAATTGAGATTAGTTCTGTGCCAGCAGTTGAAGGCAGTGTGACCAATCTTGCCGCATATTTGGCAGACTGGTCGAGAGCCAGAAGAGTTCTGCTGAGCGGTGGATTGATCGGATCCTGAGGAGTTTCTGTTAGAGTTTGGTCGGGGCTTAAAGTTCTGTTTCATGTTCTTAGAGCGATTTTGGTTAGAATGAGCAGCGTAGAAGGCCGCGGTAGCAGAATTCTGATCTTTCTTGGATTCTTGGTTGACGTGAATTTCTTCACTGCATAGGAGCGAGTAAAGAGCGTCAAGATCAGCCGGGAGAGGGGATGACCGAATGTATGTCTTGATGGAGTTGTAGCTGGCCGGTAGACCGTTTAAAGTATGAAGGATGATGTCTTCCGGATCGACTGAACTACCAAATGCTGCGATTGTATCGACTATGTTCTTTACGGTGGCGAGGTATTGCTGCATCGTGGAGGTGTTCATTTGAACGTTATGCAATTCGTTCTTAAGTTGGATGATGCGCGATCGGCTCGACGATTGAAGTCGTTTTTCCAGTGCAATCCATACTTCATGAGCTGTTGAGTATGTGATGACATACGGAAGAATTGCAGGCGATATCGTCGAGAATAATGCCGAGACAAGGTTGCTGTCAATGAGGCGCCATTGGGCGTACTCGACTGAATTGTGATCTGGCGGTGGGGTTGTGGTGCCGGTAAGGTGAGCGGCATACCCGTTGGCCGAGATATGCTGAAAGATTTGCGACCTCCACAACGCATAATTGTAGGAAGTTAGAGTGTAAGGAAGCAGGTTCTTGATATTGGAAATGATGAATTTGAGCGTTGGCGGAAGGACGAGCTCGGCGGTGGCGGTGGTGGTTGCCATGGTGGATGCGGGGGGAAGAGACGATGCTGATTCTTGATCCCCCATCTAGCTTCTTGATACCATGTTAGAGTGAGCGGAGAGGGGAGGAGAGTTACGAAGAGGAACAGGGACACAGAGTAAAGGAAGAGAATGAAATTATATTATATTATTAGAATCTAATTACATATGTATTTATAAGCTTTGAACTGTATCAATTACATTTAGCTGATGTGGGATATGTCTTTACTGCTATGCTTACAATCACATCCATTTTTTTATAAAATAAAAAAAAAACTTAAAATTTCATTACCTTTCTTCAAGAATACTATTTAAAAAACAATAAGAAAATCATCCCAAATAAAACCTAAATCCAACTAAGTGAACTAAAGTTAAACTTTAAGACTCAGACTAACCAAATTTAAACCCTATGGCCACGCGGTTGTCGCAGCTTAGCTGAGCCTCAACTAACCTTAACCACTTCAAATGAGCTCCCCAACTCCCTTATGATCTCCTAAAAAAAATAGCTCCCTAACTATCTCCAATTTTCCACTATATTCTACAAGAACCCTATAAAAATGTTATCAGGGCTAAGGTTTTCAGTATTCTGTTTACAAAATACTTCTCAAGATAATTTAATTGCCAAAAGCAGCATTAACAGCAGTAGCAGTATCAAAATTATCCTATTACAACGTCTAGAACAAGACCTCTGAGTAATAAATACAGCAAGATTAGTTTTGAAGCGCTTTGCACTTCAATGGAAAGATGTTCTGACAAAAGGTTTCAGGTTTTTTTTTTTTTTTGGACATTTAGGCCATTTAAGGCAAACTCCCACACACAACACAACGCATATACAAAGACTCGAATCCAAGACCTCTTAGTTGAAAGCATAAGCTCTCAACCAACAAGCCGAGATGAGCTGTGTGTTTCAGGTTTTCATAAAACAAACTCAGCTGATCCTCAAACTAATTTACTATCAGCTCAATTTGTTCCAGTAATTAACAAGGTTCTGATAAATTATATTCACATATTTATAAGGACTCCAATATTGTTTATAGTATATCTACTTCTCCACCATCACATCAAACATTGCATGACTAAGGCTTCGTTTGGGACGGCTTTTTTGTTGCTTTTCAAAACAGCTTTTTAGTTTAAAAATTAAAATTTTTATACTAGAAAACTGTTTAAAGAAGCAATAAAAAAACCGTCCCAAATGAAATCTAAAGAAATTATTTCATCACAAATTTCAAGCACTATGCTTTATGTAACATCTTTTACCAAATTACCTGATCAGCAATGTTCCATGTCTGAACCTGGATGCGTACAATACGGCACTTTTGAACACCACTACTTTAAACTGGAAAGAATTTAGGAAAAGAAGAGGATTTTGTGAATGTCTTTTGAATTCTTATAAGAGCGGAATCAACAACTACAGGAAATAAACAGTGACACAAATCTGTGTGTAAGGCAAGAAAAACCACCAAAATTAGGTAAAAACCTCCCTGATGTCACACCATGCCTAATATATTGCAAAACCTTAAGTTCACTGAGAATTAGACTTCGTTTGGTACGGCTTTTTTATTGCTTCTTAAAGTAATTATTTAGTATAAAATTTAATTTTTTATACTAGAAAACAGCTTTAAGAAGAAGTAAGAAAGCCGTCCCAAACGAAGCCTTAAACACACTAATAAGTTCAAGCTTTTTTTGCAAAACAATATCATGTACTTCTGCAGCTACATGTACAATTGTGTTATGGGACTGCTCGATATCACACAAATAAAATAGACTTTTTCACGCGCTAAATGTGCAACCAAGCCAAGTTTTGCCATCTCTGAACAAAAATAGTTAGACGCAATGCTGCTGATAAATCAACATAAGCATCATCAACTGGCGCTAAATCCTTATAAAAATTTGACATTAGGGTTTCATATCGTATGGTTTAAGAAAATGATTTACCTTTTTGTATCTCAGAGACCTAAGAGAGGTCGGATGTATGAATAAAAATCATAAAGGCTATGTTTTGATATTTATGATTGACATGCTTAGATTAAAAATGAAAAGAATTGAGATATTCTTGGGTTCAACAATTCAACTTGTCGAAGAACCAAAACTAAGCCAAGTTCCAAGGAGAGATTATTCTGTGCGGACACCGGACACAGCTTACCGTCCAGAGGCGAATCAGGTGCAACCACGTCATCCAGTACCGAGCTCGGTAACAAACAGTACCGAGCCGCGGTACCGAGTAGGGGGTGATAGGGGGTGACATGGCACATTTTCATTGGACTCTGGATGGCGTTCGGCATCCGCACAAAATAATCCATCCAGTTCCAAGATTGATAAAGCTCTTTTATTTTTATAATTCCTATCAAAGCTTCTTGTAATGTAAGATTGCAATGACTGCAAAGTGGACTACTTTGTTGAGTTCTTAATAGAAAAGGCCATCAAAATACATACATATTGGCTACTTTTATAAAAAAATTTCAATAGATGAAACGCAGTTAAAAATGTCCCAACTGAAATGAAAAGGTGGGCATCAGCAGTCAGTAAAAGAAAACATATAGTAACATGAACTTAAGCAACACATAACATAAGTCAGGATTGATGCACAACAACATAATTTACTGCAGAATTCAAACTATCACGAGAGTTCATATAAGAGTCAGTAGATCTGGTACTAAAAACACAGTAAAAAATATACATAACAGGAAGTAGAGGTATATGAATAAAAAGCCAAAATCAGATGCAGGTTTAGTTAAACTCAGGAGCAAAGGACCTAAATTTAACAATATCAGATCTACTTTGCTTTTTGTTCAATAGTCAACCTCCACCTCTGGGCTAACAAATCCAGCTCTGCAAGCCGATGTTCTTGCCATCTTTTCAACAGGGTTTTCATCTCTGACCCTTGTTCCAAAGTACCATCAGATGAAATAATCCTTTGGACAGAAAGCGTAGAACGCACCTCATTTAAGGCCCCATCGAGCACATCCAATACCGACTTGATGGCAAGATGCTTGGCTCCCGTCTGCTTCGCCTCAACAGAGGTAGTTCCTGGATGAGCAGGCAGCTCCTCCTTGGCGATTTCCTCTGGAGATGCAGCAAAATCAGTACCATCTATGGATCCCTTGTGCCCAATGGGAGCAGGAGTATCCACGCATTCTCTGTTGTCTTTAATAGGAGATGAAGAAGAAGGAAGGGCTAGGGGCGGATTTGAAGGTAGGAAAGGAGCGCTCTCCAAAGCAACAATAACCTGAGGAGGTGAAGAAGAGTTTCTGGTCCTGCTAGCTGGGGCCCTAGGGTTAGGCCGGCGGCGCTTATTGCCGGCGCTTCCCGCTGCGACGGCGTCGGGTGCTGAGAATGGGGACGTGGAAGCATTGGAAGGATCCCAAAGACGGGTAGAAAGATGTAACAGATCTCGATCGTGCTGGGAGAGTCGGGACGGATCCTGCCCACGCACGATGCGGCCGGCCATAGTCCTGTACTTCTTCCTCAGGCGTCTCAGCTTCTCGGATAGCTGTGAGCGGGTGTAGGGCTGCGACATAGACTCAGAAAAACGGTCGTAAAAGATGTTGAGATCCCTGGGGAAGACCAAGCCCTGAGACCAGCAGCCGAGAAGACCCTGCAAGAAGCGGATCTCGTCAGATTCTGGCCAGATCCGGTGAAACTTGAAAGGCGGCTGCTTTGAGTCACCGCCCTCGTCCTCGGGCTCCTCGTCGTCATACTCGGCGTCGGGATCGTCGTCTTCGTATGTGTTGTTGCGAGAGGAAGGGAGAGTGGGGGGATAAGAAGAAAGCGGGATGGGATTAGGGTTGGCGTTAGGGTTAGGATTGGGGGTCGAGATGGAAACAGAATGGGAGTTGGATGCAGGTTGAGCTTGGGGCTGTGAGGGATTCTTGCGCTTGATGGGGAGTTTGCGCGCGGCGGACTTGATGTTGAGAGGGGTTAGGGTGGCCATGGCGATGGGCGCGGACCTGCGAGCGCAGGGCAAGAGATCTGGATTCCAGACGGAGGCTGTATTCGGTAAGACGGGGTGGGGTTCGATCGACAGAGAGCGTGACCGAGATCAGGAGATAAGGCTGGGCGGAGTCAATACAGGTTGGGGTGGTCAACATTGAGAATGGTTCAATAAATTAAATAGTTCAAATCATAATAAGATTATATTATAATTCAATTTAATTTTTTTTATATTTTTTAAAATTAGTACTTAAAAAGAAAATATTAAATTAACAATCTTATATATTTTTTAGTTTAATTAGGATAATTAGATGTGAAATAGTTACTTAATTATTAATCCAAATAGATTATAGATTTTTGATCAACAAGTTTTATTTCCTCTCTAATTATATAATAAATTATGTTAATATTTAGCTATCTTTTTTTTTATAAAAAATTAACTATATTTAAGATTACTTAAGCTCTAATCATAGTTGGTACATAGTGATATATTTAGACTACTTTGAATTTATTAAGACTTAAATTTGGATCATTAATATTTTATTAAAATTAAAATATGATTATTGAGTCTATGATTATTAGCACATGCATAATTGATTATGGTAATCAATTTTTAATATTTATATTAACTAATTAAGACATGATTAAGATTCTAATCAAGATCATTAAAATTTAATCATGGTAATTAAGCATTAGATGATTCATTAATCATATAAATTAGGTATATAATTATTCAATAATATATTATGTTAACTAAACAAACTTAGAAGTTTAATTAACACCACAATTTAAATTTAAATATTGTTCATAACAAGCACCTAAAAAGTAAAAAAGTTTCATATAGGTAAATAAATTAATTAGTGTTTGTAAATATTTAATTAAATCAATTAATTAGTTTTTATAAAATATTTAATTGATTTCATTTCAAGCAATTACATGTTTGCATGTAATTAATCTTAATAAGTTATTAGTTAATTATTTAATTAGTGCTTATCATGGTTAAATAAACCATCTAGTGCTTAAAAAATATTTAACTATATATATTTTTTTAATTATATTTTTATGCTAGTTCTATCAAAAAATTTATATAGCAAGCAAGTGTTAAAAGAGCTTCAATCTTTTAGTGTTTCATAGATAAGGGTCAAGCATAAACTACAACAACTTACTAATGTAACATAATCTGCATAAATTAAAAATCCATGTGTTTGTTTAATTTTAAGGAGCTAATAGTGAAGTTTTATTATAAGGGATTTGATGTTAAAAATCAAACTAATTTTGATGGCCCTACCTAGCTCTACTATGAGATCAAAATCAAGTACACAATATGCGGGAAAAACCTAAGATATATCATCATCAAGCATTACTAAAACTCAAAAAAAGGTTTGGAGCTCAGAACTTCCTTATTTTGTTCCATAAATTTAATTTTTCCTTTTTTTAATATACAATATGATGTTGTAACTTAATTATTGTTGGAATGAATGAGAAAAAAAATGATATTCTTGTTAAAAATTGGTGAGTGAAATCTCTAGGGTTGAGAGCTTGGTGGCTAACATACCCCTTTTGGATTCTTCTTTGTGAAAAATCTATGTATCTTTCTTATACTTACTAATCTATATATTAATCTTTCATAGCATATTCTACTAACATATTCCTAGAATTATTCCAAAGCACTTTCCAACAACTAACAACCATTAAAAATTCTTAAACCTCTTTGGAGCTGGTGGCCAAAGGTAGGGTTCTCTCAAACCTCTTTTGGCCCACCTATCAACTCTAAAATTTCTTGGATATCTACCATCTATTCTATTGTGATCTTTGCACATCATCCTAACATTCCATAACATTTTTAATTCCTCGAAACACATAAAGACCCTCCACCAATTTAATAATCTAAATGAATGAATGGCGGTCGCACATTAAATTTAAAACTTTAATTAAGGAAAAAGTTAGCTTAAATTATTTAAAAGCCGCCGGAAATCTAGAAAGTCGTTGGAAAATTGACCGCATGAAAGCCGCCGAAAAACTGCTAAAAAGCTGCCGGAAAATTTACAGCCGGAAAGTCGCCAGAAAATTTCGACGATAATGGGTGATTTTCCTGTAGTGTTTTGGTCATTCCTCTATCTCAAATAGACCAAAACAACTCATAGGGACCAAACATTTCGATCCCTTTTGTTCGGCCGAGTAGAGGAGGTGGAAGAGAGAGGAAGAGGGCGGCAGCTAGGCGGCAGCCGGTGGGTTTTCAGCAATATTCTTGGGGGAGAATGATGGAAAAATTTTAAGGAAGAGTAAGGCGAGTCCCAAAATCAAAAATCTTTTCATTTTCTCTTAATTTCTTATGATGAAAAATCTATGGTTTGTTCAAAACATAAAATTTTTTGAAGAAGAGTGATAGGGAAAGCTTGAAAAAGATTTCTAACCTTGAAAATGTAATTTTCCCGAAAATTTTTAGGGTTTCAAAAAATTAGGTTTTTTATTTTTATTTTTAATTTCTATGGAAATTTTTTAATGAATATTATTTCTGATGATCTTATGAAGGTTTTTAATTTTAGAAATTAGTATTTTTAACAAAATTTTATTTTCCTAATTTTTAATTTAAGGAAATCTAAAAGCTATTATGTCTAATTATTAGCTTAGAGAAAGCGGAGGGTTTTACATTAAATTATGATGAAATTGATAATAATTAGGTTTCCGGTTTTAGGGTTTTATAGTAAAACCAAATATTTAAGGCATTTTTAATTTAATTAGGTAAATTGAATAACTTAGAAAGGGTAAAATGTGGGAAATTATCACCATTAGGAATTTAAAATTTAGGGTTTAACTTAAATCTGAAAATAATTATATTATAATGATAATTATAATTAAGGGTAGTGTTAAAAAGAAACAAATTTAGGTTAATGTTATAATTAGAAGTTATATTTATATTAATGAAACATAAGAATTTAGGTTAATATTGCATTAATGATTGATGTTGTTTATTACATTTATGTATACGTTAATTACATGAATGATAATTAATGAAAGAATTAAGGATTCATGCTAAGGTAAATGATTGATAATCAAAGTTACATTATTTGTAGGATTTCGAAGTGGGAGAGGAATGACATTGAAAGAGAAAATGGCAAATTTTACATGTCCATTAGGTAGGTATATTTGATTCTTCAAATTTCAATAGTCTTTTATGCTTTTCTAAAATTAAATGCATTGTGTTATATGTTTAAGCATGCAACTTTTTATTTTGAATGAAGTTAGTAAGAAATTTTTACAAGGATGCTTAGATTACTTAATGATTTTGATCTGTAGCATTTCATATCATAAGTCATACATGTTTTATTAAATTATTTTTAGGATACTTGAAAGTTATACATTTTATTTCAAAAAAATCCTTCATGTTGCCTTGCATAAGAATGAAAGGGTTAGAAATATATGAAAGAATGTTAGTTGTGCAAATCACCTATCCTAAAATAGATAGTGCATGTGAACTTGTGCATGTTGAGGTGGAGTATCGATATGGTGCCTTGGCACAATATGACTCTTAGGAGCAATATGATTCTTCGGGACAAAAAATGATGAAAGAAAGTGATATGACCAAAAATATGTGTACCTAATCAGTACAATTTTGGTACTCTGATATGGATGTATAGAATATAAATACGATACATATATATGTATACAGAAAATTAAAGATAAGTGAAGGGCATGAAATGAAGAGGTATTTAAACATATGATGGTAATATGATAGCAAAAAGTCTTAAAGATATAAATGCACAATTATCCTTACATGACTTTTACTTCTTTAAATACTTGCTACTCAGTCTTATATTTAAAGCATGCATATTGTTCCTCATTTCATTGTAATTGAAATTGGTAGAATTAAGTGTCACATGCTAAGCATTAGCTCACTCCCTAGTTTTGAGAAAATTTGCAGGAGAACCTGCTACTAAGTGATGGCTGAGAGATAGTGGTTTACTTACAGTTGTAGGGAATTACCGGATAATAGGTTCTTTTGTGTTTTCTTTTGATGTTCATTTTGTGGTGGATTTTACATGTCTAGCTTATAATCCACCTTTGTAAATCTCTTTTGATAATAAATGGAAAATTTGAAAATTTAGAAGTTTAGTGGCTCTTTATAAATTGTTGGATGTTATTTGTATTAATACTTAATGTTATTTGATGATTATATTTTTTATTTTTGTCTGACATCCATTCCCGCCTCATTTATACAAGCTTACCAGGCCGGGTCGTGACACTCTCTCTCTCCTTCCCCCCACCCCCACCCACACACCCACCAACCACCATCACCACTACCACAATAATAACAATAAGTGAAAGACATGGATCACCCTTCCAATGCAAGATCAATTGTGATATGTATCTAATTTTTTTAAATGATTTTATTAAATGAAAAATCTAAATTTTAGCGCCATGCCTTGTCAAAGAAGAGAGAGAGGAAAGAGAGAGAATATTGTTCGGTGCTTTTTCATCCATCAATTTTATCCAGAGATTTATTCACTTTATTATAAGTAAATCAAATCTCATTTTAGTTTTTAATAATTTTGATTATTATATAAATTTTCTTATATTGAACATAATTACTTATTCTGTGCTACTTTTTGATTGTGGCATTTGTATAAGCAAGAAAGCCTGGTTGTTAACACTATAAAATGGGTCGGCTGTTAAAACATAATACCCTCCATAGGAGGGTGGGCCGATGAGCTTTCTTTTAAAGATGACTTATGGTGTTGTCCCAATTGTAGCCTTTATTAATTTAATGAATCCATATGTAATGATAATTGATTAATTGAATATCATAATTAATTAATTTGATAAGTAATAATTGATATGACTGATGGCTAACTGGGAATAAGTTGGGATAAAAGATGTTGAAAACACCACATTAAAGCTCGATGTCATGCCTTACTAAATTATATATTGATGTATGTATATATTGATAGCACTGATGACTTTGATAGATATATTAATATCATTAATAGTATTGGATGCATTAATAATATATAAACAAATAATGCATATGATTAGATAAGATAGATTCCTTTAGTGATTTATGAATAATTTTTTCACTATTACTTTAACAATTTATTGGA